GTGTGTGAGTGAGTGAGTGAGTGTGTGTGTGAGTGTGAGTGTGTGTGTGAGTGAGTGAGTGAGTGAGTGAGTGTGTGTGTGTATGTGTGTGAGTGTGTGTGTTAGCGAGAGAGAGAGTGTGTGTGTGTGTGTGTGTGAGAGAGAGAGGGTGTGTGTGAGTGAGTGAGTGTGTGTGTGTGTGTGTGTGAGTGTGTGTGAGTATGTGTGTGTGTGTGTGTGTGTATATACAATACACACACACACAGAGATTGAGCCAATTCAGTGGATGGGATTATTAGGAGGCCATGATTGATAAGGGCCAGTGGAGGGAATGTGGCCGGGACACTGGGGTTACATCTCTACTCTTTACAAGAAGTGCCATGGGGTTTTTAGTGACCACATGGAGTCAGGACCTCGGTTGAGCGTCTCGCATTTAACAGTATAGTGTCCCCATCACTACACCGGGGCGTTAGGACCCACACAGACCACTTACTTCCATGTATTTCGGGAGAAATGGGTGAATTATGTGATGCTAATGCGACAGATCCACACGTTGATCCATTATAGATCAACTAACATGGCCATTAAGGTTGATTAAAGGACAAAACAAATTAATTTACATATATTTGACAATCAGAATAGGCTGTATCATATAGTTCATCATACAGTTAACAAGTTTGTGGATATTTTGAATAAAAAAAGGAAAAAGAAAATAATAGTGATACATCTGGCGTACTGTGCTATAGTGCCTGCATGACACTAATTGCCATTGTCCACTGACATAATATATCACACACACACACACACACACAAACAAAATAAATAAATAAATAAATAAAGCTGTCATGTCATATACAGGTGCATCTCAATAAATTAGAATGTCGTGGAAAAGTTCATTTATTTCAGTAATTCAACTCAAATTGTGAAACTCGTGTATTAAATGTGTTTTGTGGTTTTGTGTGTAGAGTTTTGAGAAATGGAGCCATAATTTAAAAAACTGTGTTAACATTTTTATTTATCTTATTCATTTCAAGGTGTTACATTAAAAAATTCACATTTTCAAAGAAATTACCTTCCTTTTTATTATAAAGAAAAATCTTGACATACTGGATTTGAATTCTTTAAAAAAAAAAACTCTGAAAATTAATTTGCTTCTGTGGCGTAATGCACTACTGATAAGAAAATAATATAACACGCTTCAGTTCATTTCAGAATGTCATGTATTTCAGTCTGTGTATTGTTTTTATCCTTGTAACTGCTGTGTCTTTACCCTGTGCTGGTGTGGATGTTAATAATAGTCAACCATTTATTTCAATAAAGTCTGGCAGACAGCTGTTCTCATGTTGTGAGTTTCCCTGTGCTGTGAATCTGACCCTCGGGTCTACTGAATCTGCACACAAAGCATGAGATCCAGATCACATCTTCTGTTGTCCAGTCCTTCAGCTGTTTCACATACTCATGCCTTTGTGCCAGACTCCTCTTACCCCTCATTAATAAAGCATTGTCACCTGAAAAATACCACTGACTGGTTGTTGTTTCTACACTACTAGAGTCTGTTAAACCCCAGAAGAACAGCACTCTATTCTCAAACCATATGTGCAGCAAAAATCATTCAGAAAGCCACACACACATCTCACTTCTTTCTCATTTTGATTCACGCAACTGAAGGTCTTGATAACGACTGCATGCTTGTAGTGTGTACAGGTGTAACGGCGTGCATAATTTAGAATTTTAACTATAAAATTATTTTTCAGAAATACTTATAGAGTATATGTCAATGACATTCTGAAATTTATGTTCATTATAATTAAAATTTTCATTACAGTTTTTTTTCAATCGCTTGGACATTTTTCAACACAGGTGACTTTATCAAAGCGAGCACAGCATCAGTGTCTGTGGATAAACTGTGGATCATTATCATTGCTTTGGCGCAAAATGCATTCACTGAAGACATTTGTCAAATTACATGCATTCTTTCTCACTTCGACACAAACACCACCAAAACTTCATGTACTACACAAGCCAGTTTGCACATGTTTACACACTGTTTTCAAAACTATAAAACTGAAGTTCAAGCACAGTACAAAACTGAATAAGACAATTCCTGAAACAAAGACACGTTTCTCAAAACTTTGAACACATTTCACCTGTTTTCACACGTTCTAATTTACTCAGTGTTTTCTGCAAAACTCTACACAAGAACGGCATCATTTTGCACAGGTTTAACCATGTTCTCATTCAGAAAACACAAACACACAATATAATTAACTCAAGCATAAAAAATTAACTCAAACAGACACATTTATCCATGTGTGAACATTCAGCAGCAAAACTGATGACACAGAATCTCAGGCTGATATGAACAAGAGCACAGCTGATTATGTGATTTGGAAAATGAATCCTGGTAGTGGGAGACAAAGATGAATTGGAGGGGAAAATAAAAAGGTCATTAGCTGCTGATGAAATACAAAGCACTCTAGTTGAGCATGTTCTTCTGCATGGACTGGCCGTGAGGGAAGTTAGCCTACAGCTCATCTACAAGTTTTCAATACTACTTACACAATACACTTACAATATAATTACAGTACATAGCAGCAGTACTTCAGAAGAGAGAGCTTTCATTATTCTATGTACAGTAAATACTCTAGCACATGTTATGCAGCCTCAAACTCATTACTGTTGGACTGATTTGTAGACAAGTATGTACTGTATTTGTGCAGAACTGAGAGACGACTGTCTAGGGGAGGCAGAGAAGTGTTTTGTCAGAATCACAGATATCGATTGTTTATTAATTTAGATATTTGAGTATTCTGTAAATCCCATACTTTCAATTAATCGTTCATCAGGGACCAATGCCGCTCAGAGATACGGTTTGCGGTAAACTCACGGACGCAAACTAGCCAGTCTGATCTTAGTCAGAGGGTGTAATAAGTTAACTAATACCTTTTTATCGGTTGCCTACTGCTCACTCGTACAAAAAGTGTACTTGATTTAGTCACTTCCATACATCTTGCTAAGTCAGTGATAGACCGAAATGAAAAGGTCTTCGGATGAAGTGCCTACTGCTCCTTTCATTCACGCGCCTCCAGTTTGTACTATCCTGGACACAGATTTACGGTAGGATTAGCATCCTATGATTTACTGGTTATAATTAATTCAGGAGAAGTTCAGAATAAATCAAATATAACAATTTATTATTAGTCAGGTAAAATTGTATCATGCCAATTACATAATGAAACAATTAAAAGCCAATTTAGAAAGGATAATGCAATTGTGAAACATATTGTATCCGCGTGGCAACATGGTTTACTGTAGCTATATGGAAAATAGCCAAGTGTTCCATGCAGGAGACATGTTTTACATAGTCACACATGTAACAGTTATCCTAATTTAACACAAGACACACTGTCTAATATGCATAGCATCAACTACCTTTTACCTAAGTATTTCAAAGAACACTTACAGCAAAGTAATCAAGTGTTTTTAAAGAATAATCTCAACTAGCCTATGTGCACATGTAGTAGCACAAACAACTATACAGTGTGCTCTATGGGCACAATGTGTTTAACACAATTACATTTTTGAATCATACCTGACAACAGAGAGACACACAGCAGTGAGAGTTCTGGTGCAGAGCTCCAGAGACTGCATGGGGGTTTTTCTGTCTACAGAATCCCAAAGACTGATTTGCAACATTCCCTTAAATACTACCAGAACAAAAACAAAGAAATATTTAAATCAGTTGTAAAAACATAAAATACATTTTGGTCTTTTAGGTTCCCATGCTCCAGGGTTGCACCTGGCTGGAGCTAGATAAACATTCCCACAGGCCTAAAGGGGGACACACCCCCTCCTCAGCAGAACATAATTCTACAAATGTTTTGAATCTTTCTCATAATATAAATGACTACTGTGAAATTGAAACCAATTTACCAATCGCACAAAGATCTTTAAAATGACACCAAACATGAAAAGTTTATGATCATGAATCCTGAAGATATAGTAAATGTTTTATGTGAGCATAGCAACTTGAGTTCTTGGCATTTCTCTGTCAAATTTTAGTGACCTGGACCATGTACCCAGGGGGGAAGGATGGGTGAAGGGACTGAAGAGCAGATGGTCTTTCTTCCAGATCTTCCTATCTTGATCAAAGCCCATTGTTTCTGAGTGTTTAGCTTTACGAGGAGATCAAAGCCCATTGTTTTGTGGCATGGCATTTGCATTGCGAGAGTGTTTGGCTTCACAAAGAATTTATTTTATAAGGAAATAATTTCACTCCTTTCAGTCCTTCCCTGGCCCCTTGGAGCAAACTCTGAGCGGTCTACAAGGGGCCATAATTAAATTATTTCCTTATGATGTTCATTACTGCCAAATTCTTTGCAGAGTGGGCAGCACTAGCTGATGCATGCAGGAGTAGAGTGGTCACCTGAAAGAACAACATTAAGACAGGTTGAGGAAAGCACTGCAGAATGCACATCAGTGACACGCCCAGTCCCTTTAAGCACAGGCACCCTGTGTCGTTGCAGTCTTTTTGGTCAGGTGTGTTTCCACCTCTCCTGTATGTCCTTGTGGAATTTGTCCCTCAAAGAGGGTAGCCGTCAGTCTGGAAAGGGAAGCAAACAGAGAGACAACAGCTTACTCTAGAGCCTTTTCACAAATTGCTCGAAGACTGGTGGATATTAATTTTCCTGTAATGTCTACAGCCAAACAGTTGTTGGATGTTCACATACTGTTTCAAGATGGCGCCAGGATGTTTGCCGGCGTGCCGCCACAGTCTGTTTTTACCTGTTTTAGTATTTTGTTTCCTTTGTTTTATTACGCGCTCTGTTTGCTCCCCTCTGGTGTACGATCGCTTAACTTTTCTGAATATTCGGTCGGCGGTGTCTGATTGTCTGTTTCGTGATACCAGAGAAGACTGCCTTCCGTATGCACTCTGTGCCAGTGTGCCAGTTGCGCTGAGGAAGGTGTGTTACCTGCCTGGATGCTTGTGCCTGTGGAGGAAACGCCGAAGGGAAGCGCGCTTGCAGCAATGTCACATTGTGCAGAGGACTCATCTGGTTCCTGTGGTCTTGTCCCGGTGGTCGTCTGAGACAAGGTCTTTACAGGGGATCTGTATCTGGGGCTCATCTTAATGCTGGCAACACGTCTTCACTCTCTTCTGCTGGTTGCAGTTTTTTCAGTACCCCTAGGTCCGTTGGCCGGGGTGGGGGTCTTGCAGTTGTTTTTAAAGAAAAGTTTAAATGTAGACTTTTACCCTCGGACTCTTTTTGTTCGTTTGAATCTCAACTAATTACATTGAATTCTTTTAAGTCTGTGCTATGTGTTTTAATTTATAGACACCTAAACTCTCATGGGGATTTTATACAAGAATTCTCTGAACTGTTATCTGCAATTGTCCCCTCTTTTGACAAAATTTAAATTTTAGGGGATTTCAATATGCATGTGTGTTGCCCGTCAAAGCCCTTGGTCAGAGATTTTTTTAATTTATTAGTCATTTGATCTTTTACAGTGTGTTTTTGGTCCAACTCATGAGCATGGTCATACTCTTGATCTTGTTTTATCTTTGGGGTTTTCTGTTGGTAATCTGAAGATTGTTGATACCGTTTTTTCTGATCATAAGACTGTTCTTTTTTTAGCTCTAATTTTCCATGTGACATCTTATGTAATGTTTCTGTTCCTGTCGCATCTTGTGTTCTCACTCCTTACACAGCTAGTAGTTTTTCAGCAGCTTTTG